GAAGAACGGAGGGAATCAGCTCCCTTAGGTGACTCTGAGAGGTTAGCCGATGCCCATATTTTTCGAGAAACGAGCGTAGGCAATCGATCTTAGACAAGGGAATTCCAGCTTTGGATCAGGTCAAAACGATACAGACGCATATCATGAGGTAATGTTTTTCCTTTAGGATGCTTTGCTTGATCATTTCTTCGTAACAATTCTAGCACCGACTGATCTTTATTCATGCTCTCTGAAATTGTCTTCTTGGTCTTTACATGCTTTAGCGAACTAATGTGTTTCTTGACGGTGCTTTTCTTCTTCCTTATTGTTTCCTTGCAAGCACCACATCTTAACTTGCCATCAACTGAGGTAATGTACTCGTTTTTATGTTCCTGGACTCGTTGCCACGAGCTTAACTTTGGGTCACTTTGCCCACGGGTTGAGCGGCTCCTACCGGCTGGATTAGTCTGTAGCTTTCTTTCTCTTGCTGTTTTGGCTTTTTCGGGAGTACGAAGATTGGCCCCCAGTCTTTTGGCTTCCGCAATCAGATTACCTGGGCCCTCATTTGCAGATTCATCTGAGTTGGATGTATTGGAATCACTTGTAAGTGTCCGCCATCTTAAAAAAACGTGCAACGTGATACCGCCGACCTCGCGATAAGGCATCACAAAAATCAACCCATGTGGGGGGCCTTAGGCCCCAATTATTGTATTTTAGAATAAATTGAATAAATGTCTATCGAAAACTGACCAATGTGGCTCAAAAAATGAAGAAAATGGCTTCAAAGAACCTGAAAAAGCCCAAAGTTGCCGAAAATTCTAAAAGTTGCCAAAATTCTACAAAGTTGCCGAAAATCTCAAAAGTTGCCGAAAAGTTGCCGAACAACTTGTAGCTAAGCCTACACCTTTCTACCGTCAATCTTTATAACTGGCATACATTCTCCTCCTCTACATCCAAAATCTCCCATGTGGCAGAGTAGAGAGACTGGTTTTGTGTCAACAAGGAGCATAACCACACTACTAGAATTGGACCTTTGACATGATTGTAAATAGCATTATTAGAGAGCATATAGAGCATGTAGCATATTACCTCATTTCTCTGGAGTTGTAAGGCACGTTATCCGCAATTAAAGTTTGTGCATATCCACGTCTTGAGAAAATTTCACTCAGACTCCGAATGACATCATACCTTTTTTTGCTGCTAAGCTTGAGAGCCTCGATATACTTTAAATAATAATCAATAACCACAAGGTAGTCTTGATTTTTGTTCTCTAACACATCTGAAGCAATAATTTGCCAGGGCGATAATTGAATTTCTCGAGTTTGCATGGGCTCTTTGGGTAGCTTAATCTGAAATTTCATACATTTTTCACTACTGGCAACCATCTCTTCGATATGCTTAGTCGTGCCAGGCCACAATACTGTCATGCAGGCATTAGCTTTGGTTTTTTCACTGGCACAGTGGCTAATATGTAATTTCTGGAGTATATCGTTTCTCCATACTGATGGAATAATTAACCTGATATCCTTGAGTAAAATTCCATATGTAACATGAATGTCATTCGGCACATCCCAGAAAGATTTTTTTCACGCTTGTGTTCCGGCCAGCTCTTCGTGGCACATCTGAGTAACATTTTCATAGTGGGATCATTGCGGTTAAGTTCTCGTAATTCCATTAAGTTAACATCCGAGATTGGGAGATTGGTAGCAACATTATGGATGAAATGCTAGGTATCATGATGCATATCATTGCCAGTTGGATCACTGGTCTGATCGAATGTCTTAAATAGGGTATCAGAAATTTTAAGAAATTTCCCTGGAACATATTTCACTTTGAGATAATATTTACAATCTAGGAGGTACCTTGAAAAGAGGCTTTTTAATGATGAACCAATCTCGCTCAATCATAGAAAGTTAAACAAGACATCTTGAATAGAATGATTAGCAAAGGAGTGATTGAGGTTCAAAAACCTGTAGTAGTTTAAGTTTTAACTATTTTCAGCAAATTAAGCAAAAAACAGGCACTGCATTAGCTAAAACATCAACCTGCAACCGATAGAATCAGAGTCCATTTCAGGTTTGCCACTATTTTACCAGCGAAAAAAGTACGTAAGATATATCAGTTCAGCACTCAAAGACGTGGCATTTCTAAGCTCGATGATCGATCAATGTCGATGAAACTTCGAATAGCTTTAGTTATTTCTATTTTAGAACAATGAAGTTTTGGGAGACCAAACACTGCTGTTTCTGTTGCATAAAAGTCAAGTGGCAATTAATCACCATTCATTGTCGAATATTCATTTCCTTTCGGAAATATTCTACAATTTGGTTTATTGAAGTTAAGGTCACATATTTTTTAGATGGAAACATCTTGTATATGCTTGTAATTTAAGTAATGTAAATGAGTAGTTACTGTATATTTAGGGCTTTTTGACGACCGTTGCCCTAAATGTTTTGTCGCAATAAGACGTCTCCAATGTGAAACAAACGTGATTTACGGACTTAATCCTCAGCATTTGGTTTTATTGCACCAATATGTACCCCATGGCTTTGATGCTCTTCCCTCCATCATCTAACGTATAATGGAGTGCCTCGTTTCTGCAAGATTTTGCGCCTTTTGGATGACTTCCTGTACCAAATCCAATCAAAGAGTTGCACGAGTAGCAGTCGTTTTGGTTATTGCTAACAATACCAATTCTGACTTTAGCACGATCACGATCACCAACAGCATTGAATCCTTCCTTGTTACAGTTGCGCTGTAAAGAGGCGTTGCTGCCAATCAACTTTTTCCACCCGTCACGACCCAGTGAGGTGTTGCGGTATTGGCCATCAGCAATTAGTGAGTGTAGAGAGTCAGCCAACTTGTTGATGACAATAAACCTGAGCTTTTGGTTGATCTTCATTCCGAGACAGATCTTAGAGAATGATGTGTTCCAGTAGGTGGGTAGCTTTGATTCTTGTTCGTCAAACCCAGTCTCTCCACCGAGAAGGTTGAATTCATCGTAATCTCTCCAATAATGCGCCTCATAATGGAAGGTGGTCTGAAATACAAGAGCATTTCACTTTTGTATTTTCTCTGAATTGATGGATTTTCCCTGTCTACTTCCTGTCGTGTTTCTTTATTTATTGATTTATTACCCGACTCGTTTGTTTTACCATAGAATTGACCTCGATATTTTTGACATCGTGTCGTCAATGCTAAGGTAAATTTTTGTTTTCAACACAGACCTGGCACCGTAGATCAGTGCATGACATGTCAATATAGTTATTAGGAGTTTTTCCTGTGTTTTCATTTGCACCCCAATCAAGAGTCACTGAAACGATAAAGGATGACAGAAGTCATTTTTCTTTAAAGAAATTCTGATCTCTTTGTACATAGACAAAATTGGAGTGTGATTGTGTCACGATAAAAGTAACCTGATCCCTCGTCATTGGCAGTTTATTGGTCCTCAATGTTCTATGATCCTCCAACAATCCTCCTCTACCTATCCTCGTCCTCCTCCTGCTGTTCAAACGATGAACAATGACTTCTATTTAAATCAGGTTGATATCTACATAACCCCCAAATGATGTGAAAATTTTGCTCAGAAAAGAGATATTCCTTGTTCCAAACAGCCTTTAAACGAATTATGATCTCAATGGTTTGTGTTCCTAATCTAACTCTTACATGATACTAGAGACAAATAGGTTTGGATATACTTATGGCTGATTTTTAACTTTTCTTTTTCTACAATCATTGCACACAATAAGTCTCTAAATTTACGTTGAACAAAGTCAGGTCTTCGTCCATTACCGTCTCGATGAAAAACAAAAGGCATTCATATGTAAAAGGCGCGTTTTTAACTTGCAACGTTTTGAAAGAGACCAAGTTTGTATAGGAAATGAATTATTTAATAAAAGTATGCACCTCTCTGCCGTCAATCTTCATAACTGGTGTCCATCCTCCATCTCCACACCCAAAATTTCCCATGTGACAGAAAACGGACAATGGTTGGGAGTCAACAAGAAGGGTAACCACACCACTCATAATGGATCTTTTGAATCAAAATGTAATAAAGAAACAAAAACATTAAAGTAAACAATGACGGTGAAATAAAACTAGAACTTATAAAAAATAATTATCATTAGTGGCAATGAAAATTACAATGGCAAAGATACTGAGTGACAATGATGATGATTGAGCACATGAGCAATATAAACAACAGCCTTCGTAGCAACAATTTTTCCTGGAATTAAACAAGTGTCCGGGAGCGTATTATTTTTCACTTCTTCTGTTAGGACGGGAATACACTCAACCTAAGTGAATCGAATTTAAACCGAGTTCTTTCTTTGCATATGGTGGTTTGAAAATTAGGGTATATTTGGTGACGTGATGGGCTTAAACCAATTGCGAGAAGGCGGAATATTTGATGTACTACATAAATAATATCCGAATACCAATTGTACTCACGTGTCCTGGTCATGAATTTCTTTACACGAAGTAGGTCCTGGAAAAAGTTTAAAAATACCTTTTATTAGAATTATAAAATTATATTGTCTCTCCGATGTTTTAGTTTTTTTTTTCTTTTGTTTTGTGTTTTCTTATGATATTTCAGCTTCCTGGCTGAACTGAAACATTTTCTTTTTCCAAAGGACTTCCTTGGGCAGCATAAATGTTACTTCAAATCCTTAAAAAGAAGAGACATCGGTAAAACTTCTCATTATCATTGACAATAATTATTTCCAGCCTGCCGTAAAGTTGCTAACTAACTGATGGCTCTACAAGTATGTAATGCATTTGTGTTTGAAGAATGGTTAATCATTCTGCTCTTTTTAATGTCAGTTTACTTTCCTGTGTGTTTCTCTCTTTAACTCTCTCTTTTGTTGCCTTTTCTGTTGCTTAGAAATAACGATGTTAATTAAACATGTTCATGTAATTAGTGTACGACTTTATGCTTCTTAATAATTGAACTGTACATCTCACTTGAAAGATATAGATGATTTTTTGTTTACCTGTTTGGCACCTCGGACCTTTGTATCCAGTAGGACATAGACACTGATAAAGTTTGTCGGTAAAATTGCTTTGACAAGTGGCGTTGTTTTCGCAAGGATTTTCAGCACACATGTTCTTGCAAGAGAAAAAAAGAACTTTCACGCTTAATGTAACACGACTTAGCGCAAATACCGTACTATGCAAGTGTGTTGAAGTCACACCTGAACTGCTTTTGCAATATCCACTTAAGAGAAACTTATACAAGAGCCATTCAATTCAAATATCGTTTTTTCTTGGAGGTGGGTCACGGTTGACACACCTAGGAATAGGAGGGGATGAACAAATAGAATGAGCGAATAGATAACTAAGCGAAATAACGAGAGAACGAATGGAATGATAATCGGAAAAAAAGTATACCTTGTTCAGTCTTGACAAACGTAAGAAGAAAGCCAGGATAATTATTTTACGCCCAGGAGAAGTTACTGATCATTTATCTTGGATGACGCCGTCTTAATTATGGCTGCAGTAAATTATAGATGGTGCTTCCTTGAAAAGGCTGCTTTGAAATATCCAAAAAACACAGATGAGAGTTCTTACCACGATGTGATAGTGATGTGAGCTTTTGTTTTTTCTGAATTCCTTGGGGTTGCTGTACTTGTCAGATGACAGTAACTCGCACCATAGTCTTATTTCCAAGGCCAAGTTCACGGAAATACAAGAAGGATGTTGAAGGCATCTCATGGTACACTCCAAGTCGTCGTGCACCGTGAATATTCTAACTGGAGGCACATTCAAATAACGGAACTCATCAACAGAAAACAGATCTTGTCTTACGTCTGTTACTCGGTGGTCCGCAGTGTTCGTTTCTGATGATCGAGTCAATGGAGCTTTGTTAGCGAGGAGCTAAATGCATCTATTATAATTTCTAATGATTTTGTTCCATAATATATTCAAACATAACTTTTCCCAAAAAATGCCAGGGTGATACATATTAAAGAAGTTAATAAATAACGGACCTTTTTTCTTAAATGCGAATTTAATCCTAGGGATGTATGCATAAATGTTATCATATCTTTTCAATCATTACTGCAAACGCTTCCCGGCCCTGAAAAGCGCTCTCTCTTTAACGCTGCACAATTAATGTAATTTTTTCTTTTAAAATTTGGAAACTTAAACGACTACACTTTTATGTTAATGAGACTCAGTAAACTATAAGACCGTGAGTGCAGCTCTAGTCTCAACCATGATAACCTGCAGAAAAGAAATACTTCCTTTCGTTTTTCAGTCAATCGGAGGCATGCGTGAGGCAGCGCAAAGGGCGGATAACACGCGAAGGGAGAGACGTAAAAAAAAATAATAATAAATAAAACTAAATAACTAATTAAGCAAATAGGAATTATGTATTTTTTCTAACTGAATGCTTTATAAGTCACAACCATACATCTTAGTGCCGCTCTCGCTAAGAGCGGTCCTTTCGACTTCCCATCGAAGAAAAAGTTTACTTTTATTTTTTGCCTATGAAAGGGTTTAGGACATGTTTCAAAAATAGTTGTGTCGTTACAGGCCAAATTTGTTTTGGTTAGACCACCCAATTTTAAGAAAGAATTCTCAAAATGCAGCCGTACATCGGGCCAAAAAGGCATGTCAGTGCATAGTACTTACCCCAATGAGGTTACCGATTACCTTAACCCTTAGTAGTGACCAAGACAGAATTTCTCCTTACAATAGCAGTACAACAGCAACCAGATAAGTGATGGGAATAAAGAAAAATATCATCTTGGGGATAATTAATTGATCCAAGACTAAATTCTCTGAACTAACTTTATGAGAATTGTATGGTTGACAGTAAGGAGAATTTCAAATTTGATCTGAGACTTAAAGGGTTATAACCGCGGGTATCTCCCTAACTTTCATCCACCAACATCTTGAAAACAATGAAAATCCGCGCGTTTGCTCAATTGCGCTCGAAACATTATTTTGACTGTTTTAACTTCGTTTGTTAATCTTCTAAGTTGAGGATTTTAGGTTTTCGAAGCAACTGGATGGAAAATAGATCCCAAGTTTTCTTAAAACGTTGCATAAACATGATCCATGTGGTAACGCTTCCTTGGCTTACAAAGTAAACAAAGGTGAAATATAGAATTTGACACTCTGGGTCCAGTTGTTCGAAGGCCGATGAGCGCTAACCCAGGGTTAAATTTTAAACTAGGTTTCTCTATTTCTCTGGTTAAAAGCTGTTTGAGGATAATTTTCTTCATTTATTTTTAAAGCATTCAATCAACAAATTGAAGAGATGAAGATTTAAGCTGAATTTTTTTTTCGAGCTTTCAGATCTTAAATCAAATTTATCTTAACCCAGCTTTGAACAACCCGGTCCTGGTCCTTACAGACATTCTGTGTAGCTTACAGGGACACACAAACAAGCTTAAATACTTGCAGTTTCTTCTAACAATCTGCACACGGAACGCAATGAACTGTCGCTCTTTCTGAAAATTTGTTTCCATCATTAAAGATTTAATGCTGTTATGCACGATAGCATTCTTGAGCGACACACTAAACATTTCCGTGCCACCATCAAAACCAAATAGACAAATATTCGGCTTGATGTATAGCTCATTTTTTTCCCTCTTTCGCGGTTATAAAAAGTGAAACCAAGCATTAGGTAATGCAACGAATTAGAATCGAAAATTATAAAATGAATTAGAGAATTAAGAAAGATGTTTTTTCGTCTTGTCACGAGTGTGGGACAAAGAAAAAAATTGAGTCCCTATGAATGTTACATTTTACTGATAATTTTATCTCTTAAGATGTTTACCTGTTTCGTGGAAGACAAAGATTATGATGGCTGCGGAATATTATTGCAAATATTGTAAGGGATTGCAAGCCATTACAGACCATTAAGATTGTTGCGTAGACTATATCCTAAAAGGTGTTTAGTGAGCGGCATAAGTCTCTTAGCCGAGACGAAACACTAAATTTATATTCAAAACACAAGAATATGGAAAGTCTGTACTTTTAGAAAGTCTGTTGGTCAGCACGCAATGTGACCACGTCATGTGTAATAAACAAACCTAACTTTCTTCAATAAACTCTTTTTACTGTTACAAGAGGATAAGAGTCGAACTAACGCTTGTGTGAAAGTCCATCCTGATGTTGTTTACCCAGCCTAAAAGATTGTAGCCAATTGACAAAGATGTTAATTGACCAGCGCTTTAATTAATGATTGGAAGATATTCCATCCCTCTGTTGTGTTTTTCTGACAGCTAATTATAATTCTAAATAATCTCACTATGTCAGTTAAATAGACGAGCTTGAATTTGACAGTTCCGCTTTACGCTTTCATCTAACGGTTGTGTTTTTGAGACAGCTAATTATAATTCTAAATTAACACCTAATTATGTCAGTTGAATTTGTAATAAAGAAGGCGTGCGTTATACAGCAACAAATGCTCGATTCTACGCAAAAGACCTAATCTCTGGTTCACTTTAGATATTACATGTTCCACATGTTCGGTCCACGTAAAGTTGGAGAATAATTTTCTTTCACCTAACAGTTATAAACTGTAGATTTTCCTAAGAGAACCTTTCTAAAGTACAATTTGACCGCCTAAGCCGAGAGCCAGAATCTTCGGGGAAAAAAAAAAAGTTGAAAGTGGCAATTTGTGGACAGCTTGCGTCGGCAAAGGAAAAGGAGTATTTCTACTATTTGGCCAGAGTTATGAAGATGGTTTTACACCATGAATGCCTAGTTGTGTTTATATTGCTACATTTGTTCTCATGCCAAAACGAAAATAAACGGCTGGAAATAGGGCCCATTCTTTTTAAAAGTTTACCTTTTGTTCTAATCTTTCGAAATATTCACGCTTTATTCTTAAAACATTTTTGCGAATCTCTTCTAATTTACCGTAATCCAAATATTACTTTTGCATTTTAGAAAAGCATTTTCTCAGGAGTCACGAGGAAGAGTTGAAGACCACTGGACCTAGTAGTTTTAAACAAATCGACGTTTACCTTCTTTGGCTCATACGCCTGTGATGACCAACATCTAGAGAGCTCTCACATCAGTTTAAAAAAAAAATACTGTAAGTGGAAAAATTGTACCCAGAGGTGCAACCTTAAAACACTGCTGACCATAGACACTTTTGTCTATACCATGAAGCATGGCGTCACGGTCCAATTTCTAAAAACTTAGGCTAGCCCCACATTTTAGTCCCACATTTTTGTTTATGACATTTAATGGCCCTTTAGACTCAGTTCACTTGAAAAAAGTACGTCAAACAATTCAAAGAGCAATTTGATTGGCGTCGGCTGAAATGCGTGGGAGAAAGTTATGATTTAAGTTGAGCTGCGATGACTTAATTATTTGGGACGGATGAGACACAATCTATCAGTGAAATACCCTTCTTCTGAGCTTGTTTTCCTTTTTTACTGCAACTTATTTCCTTAAAACTGCATTTTCTTCAGACAATCCGAGTTGTATTTTTTTATGATATTTCTATCAGGGAAGAGTATTGCATTATAGAATTCTATTTCTGCATGACATTGTGTAAAACACCTGTCAAATTAACGTACTAACACTGGCTAGTTTGGTGCTAGAAACTTCTTGTAGGACAAAAATGTCTCCTTCCTAATTCCAGCAGCATTTTGTCAAACTTCAAGTACTACACAGGAGGCGACAATTTATTAAAAAGAAAAACACATTTCTGTTGAAGTCGGTTACATATCGTCCTAATTACGTATGGAAATATAATTCCCGAAATATTTCTTGCAGGAAAACAAAATGGAAAATGATAATGAAGGAAATGGAATCCACTTTCGAAAGTTTGACGATTCGCGCTCGGTTAACTCACGTTGTGGAGCGCAGAACTGGTGTGCAGGAGGTGCCAACACCCAGGGTCGTAAAATAAATACAACCGAGCGACCAGTGGCTGCCTTTGCTATGACAAAGGCTACTTATTAGACATTCTAGTCTCCTCGGGGAAGGAAAATAAGCCGTAAGCTCCGTCTCCTTTCTCTTCTCTGAAATGGTTAACAGGGGACATTAAAGAACCAACGCGCTTCTCGCAAAGTGTAGGGAACTTAGCTCCCGGTCTTGTGGTCTGCCCTTGTCATTGTTTACGTACGCCCCCATTTAAAAACCAGCTCTGAGCTGAACTGGGCTAGCCTGTCTAAATATCGCAAATACATATACACATTATGTTATTATGAAACGTGTGGAAATAATTCTTACACTTAATTATAAATCACCTTGTGATCCAAATGCAGTGGATATCATGACATAAAACAGCAATTGATGGACACGGTTGAAAACGGTATACATGATACAAGACTCATTAGAAACGTTCCCTGATAATCTGAACCTAAATAAAGTTCTGTAACCAATGGTTTCGTTTTAAATAGTTTTGACATTTGCCTTAGGCCACGAGAAGCCGCGAGCACTATGTTCTCTCTTTATCATTATTTATTAATGTTTATTTGATATATTTTTTTAGCGACCAGTGGTATTCCTTAGTTGCTATTAAAAAAATTCCGATACCATCACAAAGTAACCTCTGGAACCCAGAGTTTGCTTTAGGACTGCTTACCCTATACATGATTTCCTCTCCGGTTCTTTTTTCACTTGTGCGTGGTTAAGGAAAATTCGCTTTAAAAGACAAAACGAGGAAATTCTATCAATTAATTAATAGCTTCTCGAACTCCCTGTATACATATACATATCAATATTTCCGACTCAAAGCGTCATTTGTCTTTTGCGTACAAAGAGAAATATTTTTGTCCTGGTTAAATTACTTTTTGCTTGAATAAATATGTTTGAACAGTGATAATTATTTTTGGTATTTCTCTTGTACGCCATCGTGGATAACACTGTTCATAACGATTTTGGACATGTTTATGCTACTGCAATTGTTTTTTCGGCCGAAGACGTTTGAATGGTTCTGATACAAAGCTCAACCAGAAATTGTACTTACCGTGGCGTAGTTTTTTCAACATCTTGAGACTGTCACTTATAGGACCAATCACAGCAAAAAATTCAGACGATACTTTAAAGATTCGACACAGACTGCAGCAACAATAAAGTGTTATGAAACTATGAATTAAATACACTTTTCCAACTATTTTTAGCAAATTACGCAAAAAAAGAAGGCGCTACATTCACCTCCACGACACCTTTCATATCCATACTGTCGCCCATACTCAAGAATGATTAATAACATTTCCTAATGATACCCACACCGATATTAAAACCGTTTGTGCTGAACTGAGATAAATTGGACTTGAAAGAATCGTTTTAAACAAGATGGCTCAGGAAAAAAATATGTAGCTATAGGTTACGCAACTTTCCTGCAATTTTATATTCATAACAAAATCGAGAAGACGTTTAGACCGATAAAGCTCGCAAAATTTCTGTGTCATAAAGTAATTGACTAAATTGGTTCGTCGTCGAAAACGCGTGCATTAAAGAAATGAATAGATATGAACCTAGTTTGTGAAAGTGAAGAATTCATTTGATGGTTTCCTATGATACCGCTTTTACACATGCACAACAGCTGGCATTGTGAAACTTTGTCAAATTACCATACAACCACTGTTAATTTTGGTGTTAGTAGGAACTTCCTGTGTGTCATGATATTCGTGATGGGTGATTTTTGATAATCAAGCAGCCTTGCTACAAGCTAAGTTGGCCAATTCACCTTCGCCACACCTTTCATATCCATATTTCTATCCATATTTCCGTCTCCCCCTTGTTTTTAGCTGAAATACATATACAACAGCAGTGGCAATATAATGCTTTGTTAAATTACCATAACAATGTTTATTTTGGTTCGCTGGTAGGAACTTCCTGTGAATCATGTTCCTTCTCCATGATTTACTGTTCCTGTTTGGGAATAAAGGCTTAATATTGAAGGGCAATGAATCAGCAGAAATTCATTATCACAAGTTCAAATTAGCTTTGATATCTACGTAAGTTTCAAATTTTTCAGTTCTTTCCTTCTTTCATTGCAGACAGAATCGAAAAATGATTAATGTCATTATCATTGTTGTTATCATTATCATAATTTTTGATCTCAGGAGTGAAAAGTACTCCTTCGTAAACCCTTACCTGTTTATTTTTGTCCATTTAATTATAAAAACAAGCACCTCTTTCGGACTCTACAAGGAAACGTTCAAATTATCGATAAGAAGCTCTAACCAACGAATTTGACGAAGTAGGCCATTAAATTCCGATTTTGTAACGAGTAGGAAGATAAAAAAGAAATAAAAAGGTAGGTTTTCAATTATCATAGAGTGTCATAGGAAACCAAAATGTGTTACCTTTTATGGGAAGTTATTTCAGCATTGTGGTGGCGCAAACGTAACAAAATGTCCTCAAAAAAATTATTGAAGGGACATTTTTTTGCCAATGAAATCTTTGATTAGAATCGGTTTATTTATTTATTTATTTTGTATAAGTGGAAGTCTATAGCATACCTTCAATGACTTTACATTACTTCTTTTTTTCCTCGAAAATGTTGTCAAAACAATGCGCTCATGTTTCTCAATTTGTTTTGATCACTTTTATTATTAAATAGGTTATTTATATGGCTTTCGAGTTAGAGGCAGATAGAGCAAGAAACATATCTCTTTGAAGCTGAATTGTTGCTGTGTTGGCTTAATTGTTAGAAAAACAAACACAGTTTGATTATAAATCATCGGGCATTTTTGATCATCTATTTCAAGGATACGAACAGAAAAGTGTAGAAGCTATAATTCACCGAAAAGAATAGGATTTTCCAAATAAAGAACCATTTGAACCATAACAAAGTTTTAATCCAGACTCATTTGACCCAAGCCTCTCAAAATCAACGATCCACGGTAAAAGGGGAGAATAGATGTAGATAGTTCCTTGAAATTATGGTGCAAATTCTAGTTGCCATTTTGAACTTAGTCACTAACTATATTATTGCGTGTTATGAACAAAATTAAGAAATACATCAACATTTTGCCAAATAATTTCATTTGATAAAAAATGAGTATTTCTTGCTATTCAGAGAAATCCTTTTACCTGCAACGAGTATTCTGAAACTCGCAAAAATACTGCGAATCAAAGTTTTGTTTCACATTGTTTTTCCCATAAATTCACTGTTATTGATGGAATGGTCAATGTTTTCCGTTGTTAATGCAATGATGTAAAGCAATAATTAATAATACCATTGGGTAAGAGAAAGGGGCTCTCACATGGATTTCGGGGGTAATGTAAAGAGCGGGGGATTGAGGGAATTAAGAATAATAATAATGATAAATAACAACAAAACGAAAACTGAAGCTACGCGGACGAAGCAAGAGTTTTAAACAATAACGTTCACGAAAAAAACTCATCGAATAATATCCCATTTAAAAATTACTTTTTTTCGACAATAACAGTTTGATTTTCCTCTTAGTCGATACCATTCATCTTCAATGTAAATTCAACTCACGCTCTATTTCTTTCTCGTCTTTCTTGCAGCTGAAGAGCTTGAGCGATTTGAAGGGATTTCTGGAAGGTAAATCTTGAATAAATACGAGACTATAGCATTCTAAATTGATTCTAGCGTGATACATTACCCACTGTAACCTTAGTTTAGCACTCGATGACGTCAAATGCACAAAGCACCTCCATGCTCTATGAGTGAGATACTCTATAACCGCCACCACCTCGAAAACTATGTTAAAGCACAGAAAGAGCTTCACGTCAAACAATTCAAAGAGCGGTTTGATTAGCGCCGGTTGAAATGTATGGGAGAAATCATGATTAAAGTCGAACTGCAATGACCTATTTCAGACGGTTGAGGACACACAATCTATCACTGAAATACCCTTCTTTTGAACTAGATTTTTTTATGCATCGTATTTCCTTAAAACTGCATTTTTCTTAGGCAATCCGAAATGAAATTTTTTTCAAGAATATCATGAATTAATCTGGGAAAGTATTGCATTATAAAATTTTATATCTTCATGAGATTGTGCAAAACACCTGGATAAATTAAACTTGTCGAATTACTATACTAACAGTGGTTAGTTTGGTGTTAGAAACTTTGCTGATGACTGCAGATTTGAACCGAACTTACCTCTTGGAATATAAACTTCTAAAGGGTGATGATACTCTTATCGCGGAATAATAACGACTCAAAGTAAAGTGCTTATTAACAAATTGTCTTATTATGAAACGTGTGGAAATAAATTTTACTATAAAAAACGAATAATACTTAAATCACTTTGTGGTTCAACTAAAGTGGATATCGTGAGATAAAACAGCAACTGATGAACACAGTCAAACACGGAATACATGACACAAAACTCAGCAAAAAAAAGTCTCCTGATAATATGAACTTAATTCTGAACTGTAACCAATGATTTCGTTTTTGACATCTGCCTTGGACCATGAAGAGCCACGAGCACTATGTTTTCTCTTTATTATTATTTAGTTTTATTTCTTTATTTAATTTTTTTGCGACCAGCGGTATTCCTTAATTGCTGCTAAAAAAAAAAAAACTTCCGGTGCCAACACAGAACAAAAACAGAATGTTTAAAATCATCTAGAACCCAGCGTTTACTGTAGGACTGCCTACCCTACTTATGATTTCCTCTCCAGGTCCTTTTTAACCTCCCTGTAACATACTTAAAATTCCCAATCAAAATCACACTATCGAGTGATCAAAGGGTCATCTGCTTTTTGTGCACTAAGAGACATATTTTTGTACTGGTAGGAGTATTTTTTGCTCGAATAATTATGTTTGTGCGGTGATTTCACTTGTGCGCCACCGTAGAAATCACTTTTTATTACGATTTAATTTTTGACGTGTTTATGCTACTACTACTACTACTTGTTTTTGGCCGAAGACATTTCCACGGCTTTGATACCCATATGGTAAGATCAGAAATTGTACTTGCCGTGGCACAGTTTTTCTAACATCTTGAGGCTGTTAGTTATAGGACCAATCACAGCGAAAAAATCAGACGATGCTTTAAAGATTCGACACAAACTGCAGCAACAATAAAGTTTAATGTTACTAGGAATTAAACACAATATTCTCAGCTTGCGACACAGTTTTAAGTAGGGTGACACTACCGTGTTGAACCAATCTCACTTAACCAGAGACAGTTAAAACAATACATTTTGAATAGAATGATAAGTAAAGGAGTAATTGTGGTTTAATAACCTGTGGTTTCAGTTTAAACTATTTTCAGCAAATTACGCAAACAAAAGGCTCTACATGTAATAAAAACAAACAACAACAACAACCAGTAACCGATAGAATCAGAGTCTATTTCAGGTTTTCCACTCTTTTACCAGCGAAAAAAGTAGCATACACGTCAAGATGAATCGGTTCAGCATCAGACATGGTTTTTCACTGTTTCATGCTCTATTAGCAAGACACTTTAACTGATAGAAAATTCTGAGTTCGATGATCGATCAAGGCCATGAGTCTTCGAATAGTTTTAGTTATTTCTAGTCTAAAACAAAAAAAGTTTTTGAGAGACCAAACTTTGCTGTTTCTGTCGCATACAAGCCAAGTGGCAATTAATCGCAATTTATCCGTTGCCAGCTATGCATTTTTTCTCAGAAATACTTTACAACTTTGTTTATTGAACTAAGGTCGCTGACATTTTAGAAAAAACGTCTTAAATATGCCTGTATGCTGAAGTCTAAGAAATTTAAGTACTTGTGGATATCTACATATCTCTTTAGTAGTGTAAATGTTTAGTTACTGTATATTTAGGGCTTTTTGACAACCGTTTCCCTTACTGTTTTGTCGGAATAAGATGTCTCCAGGGTGAAAGAAACGTCATTTACGGACTAAGTAGTCAATAATTGGTTTTATTGCACCAATATATATCCCATGGCTTTGATACTCCTCCCTCTATCTTGGAGTGCCTCGTTTCCGCAAGATTTTGCGCCTTTTGGATAACTTCCTGTACCAAATCCAATCAAAGAGTTGCATGAGTCGCAGTCGTTCTGGTCATTGCTAACAATACCAATTCTGGCTTTAGAGCGATAACTTCGACCACTAAAGGCATTGAATCCTTCCTTGTTACAGTTGGGCTGTAAAGAGGCGTTGCTGCCAATCAACGTTTTCCACTCGTCACGGCCCAGAGAGGTGTTTCGGTATTGGCCATCAGCAATTAGTGAGTGCAGAGAGTCAGCCAGCTTTTGGACGACAAAAAACCTAAGTTGTTGGTTGATCTTCATTCCGAGACAGATCCTGGAGAAGGAGGTGTTCCAAAAGGTGGATAGTTTTGATTCTTGTTCGTCAAACCCAGTCTCTCCACCGAGAAGGTTGAATTCATCGTAATTTATCCAATAATGTGCGTCATAATGGAAGGTGGTCTGAAATAGAGGAACAAATCTTTTTTTTTATTTTCTCCGAATTGATGGCTATTTGCTGTTTACGCCCTGTCGTGTATCTGCATTTATAGATTCCTTAGTCATGTGTTTTACCCCAGAATTGACCTTGGTATTTACAACGTTGTGTTATGAAGACTAAGGTCATTTTTTTGTCCAACGCGAACACGGCGCCGTAGATCAGTGCTTGACATTTTGATTATGAGTAGTTTTCCTGTGTTTCCATGTGTACACCAATTAAGAGTCATAGAAATGTTAATCATTTGTGAAGTGAATGAGGGTTGATAGACGTCGTTATTCTTAAAATAAATTGGGATCTCTTTGTATATAGAAAATAAAATGGAGTGTGGTTGTGTCGCGATAAAAGTAACCTGATCCCCCGATAACACTCTGTAATATTCCTATGATCCACGATCCCTCCTCATTGAGGAATTGAATTAAATTTTCTATTGTCCTCCAAAAATCCTCCTCTACATATCCTCCTCCACCCCCACTGCTGCTGTTCAGGAGATAAACAATGAATGCTATTTAAATCAAGGAGGTATCTACATAACCCTCAATTAGTGTGGAACTTTAACTCAGATAAGATATGTTCTTCGTTCCAAATAGCATTTTAACCGATTTACGATATCAATGATTGTATTTCTTATCTAGCTGATACGTGATACTAGAGACAAATATGTTAGGATATATTTTATACCTTTTTTTTAACTTTTCTTTTTCAACAGTCACTACACACAATAAGTCTTGAAATTTAAGTGGTACAAAGTCTGTTCTTTGTGCAATTCCAACTTGGAGAAAAACAAAAGGCATACATATGTAAAACGAACGTTTTTAACTTGCAACGTTTTGAAAGAGACCGAGTTTATACAGGAAATGAATTATTTTAAAACCGTATGTACCTTTCTGCCGTCAATCTTCATGACTGGCGTCCATCCTCCATCTCCACACCCAAAATTTCCCATGTGACAAAAAACGGACAACGGGTTGGAGTCAACAAAAAGGGTAACCACACCACTGATACTGGATCTTTTGAATGAAAATGATAGAAAGAAACACAAGCATTAAAGTAAACAACAATGGTTAAATAAAACTAGAGTTTATGAAAATAATTATCATACATAAAATAGAGGCAATGAAAATCCCAGTGGCAAAGTTACTGCGTGATAATGATAATGATTCAACACATAAGCAAATGAAAAGTTAATCCTTCAGCAAAAGACGTCAATAACTGCGGAATACAAACAACAGCATTCATAGCAACAATGCTCGGCTATTTGTCCCGGAATTAAACAGGTGTCCGGGGCCAAGGAATATTCTTCACTCCTTCTATAAGGACGAGAATACTCTCCACCAAAGTGAATCGAATTTAAACCAAGGACTTTCTTTGCATACGGTGATTTGAGAATTAGGGTATATTTGGTGACGCGATGGGCTTCAACTAATTGCGGGAAAGCGGAATGTTTGATGTACTGAATAAATAATAACCGAATATCAATTCTACTAACCTGTCCTTGTCATAAATTTCTTTACACGTAGTAGGTCCTAGAAAAAGTTTTAAAATACCTTTCATTAGAATTGTAAAATTATATTGTCTCTCCAATGGTGTAGTTTTATTATTGTTATTATCATTATTATTATTATTATTATTATTATTGTTATCATCATTATATTTCCACTTCTTGTCTAAACTGAAACATTTTTCTTTCTAAAGGACTTCCTGGGCAGCATGCATGTTAATTTTTAAATCCTTCAAAAGAAGAGACGTCGGTAAAGGGTCTTATCATCATTGATAATAATTATTTCCATCCGATGTTTAAAGTTGCTAATTAACTAATGGCTCTCCAAGTAACTAATACATTTGCGTTTAAATAATGGTTAATCATTCTGCTCTTTTTTATGCCTAAATTGCATGGTATTAACCCACAAATTACTCTGCTCTCTTATCATTAGAGTTGTCTGATTTCATCTTTAATTGTGAATTCGCGCGCAGGTTGCTATGTGTTTTTCATCGCACGTTATAGTTACTGGAGTGCGTTGACATTTTCGTCAGAAAGTTCTTTCATAGGAGACCCTCTCAGCTCAATGTTTACAAAAGTTAACCCTTATACGTACCTTTGCATTCCCGGCCATTCTCAGTGAACCCCGGCTTGCATGCACAGTTATAAGACCCTTTGGTATTTTTGCAAAAGGCATAAGGACTGCAATGGTGATTCCCTTTGGTACACTCATCGATATCTGAAGACAACCAAAGAAACAGCAAGCGAAGAAAACAAACATATGAATTAGTGGGTCACGTGGAATTGCAAGTTATCTTTTCCCTTTCTTTTTAATCTGGTTAATACTATATCAAATGTACTCGTATGTAGATTCAATCTACTTATATCTTAACCCACTTAGCCACAATTAGAATTATTTTTCAAATCTTAGACGCCAGTATCAGATTAAAGAAAACGGCATGTCAGTTTACTTTCCTTTGTGTGTCTCTCTTTCACTCTCTCTTTCGTTGCTTTTTTCGTTTTCGTTTTTTAGGAAAGACGAAGTAAATGGCACATGTCCATGCAGTTAGTGTGCGACTTGTATGCTTCCAAATATTCGAATTGAAGATCTCACTTGAACGATAGAGATAATTTTTTTTGTTTACCGTTTTGGCAGCTCGCACCTTCGTATCTGGCAGGACACAAACACTGATAAAGTTTGTCTGTAGAACTTCTTTGACAAGAGGCGTTATTTGCGCAATGATTTTCAGCGCACATATTCTTGGAAAAGAAAGAGATACAAACAAAACATGTTTTCAATATAAAACGATTTAGCTTAAGCAGCGTGCTATGCAGTGTGTCCAAAAGTCACACCTGTACTGTTTTTGCAAACAGAAAAACTTCAAAGAGAAATAATAAAAAGAAGAGAGAAACTTATAAAAGAGCTATTCGATTCAAAGATCGTTTTTCTGTGGAGGTAGGACACACCTAAGAACACGAGAGGATGAACAAATGAAATGAGTGAATAGATAACTAAGCGAATTAACGAGAGAACGAGCGAAATAATAGTCGGGAAAACCATAACTCGTTCAGTCTTGAAGAAAGACAAACGTTAGAGGAAGAGAAGGATAACTGTTTTATTCTCAGGGGAAGCTAATGATCGTTTATCTGGGTTAATGTTGTCTAATTATGCCATGCAAGAGATCGTAGACTGTGTTTCCTTGGGAAGGCTGCTTTGAAATTTAAAAAACACAAAGGAGAGTCTTACCACGATGTGATAGTGATGTGAGCTTTCGTTTTGCTTGAATTCCCTGGAGTTGCTGTACTTATCAAATGACAATAACTCGCACCGCAATCTTATTTCGAGGGCCAAGTTCACAGAAATACAAGAAGGATGTTGAAGGCATCTCATGATACACTCCAAGTCGTCGTGCACCGAGAATATTCCAACTCGAGGCACATTCAAGTAACGGAACTCATCTACAGAAAACAGACCCTGTCTTACGTCTGTTACTCGGTGGTCTCCAGTGTTCGTTTCTGATGGTCGAGTCAATAGAGCATTTTCAGCAAATAGCTAAATACACCTGTTATCATTTCTAAATAAGGTACTCTTTTTATACTTTATACTGTTATATATTCTAACACAACTCTTCCCAAAAATGTCAGGATAACGCATTTTAAAGATGTCAGTAAATATCAGAACTTTTTCTTGAATGCGAGTTTTATCTTAGGGGCGTATACATTCATTTTATCGTATTTGTTCAGTTTTTATTGCAAACGCTTCCCTAAAAAGCGCTATCTCTTCGACGCTGCACAATTAGTATCATTTCTCTTTAAAAACTTGGAAAGTTAAACTACTACACTTAAACTCTAAGACCGCAAATCCAGCTCTAGTCTCAACTATGTATCTTGCAGAAAACAATTACTTCTTTGCGTTTTTCAGTCCATCGGAGGCAAGGCGCGAGGCAGCCCAAAGGGAGGATAACACGTGAAGAAAGAGACGTGAAAAAAAAGAAAGTTAATCAATAAAAGGTAATGAACTAATTAAGTAAATACGAATTATGTATTTTTCCTTACTGAATGCTATATAGGTCACAACCATACACTTGAGTGCTGGTCTCGCTAAAAGCGCTCCTCTAGACTTCCCGTCGAAAATAAGTTTTTTTCATTTTTTGCCCATGAAAGGGTTGGGGACATGTTTCAAAAATAGTTCTCCAATTCCCTTTTTTTGTGTCGCCACAAGCCAAAATTGAGTTTTTGTTAGAACACCCAGTTTTTAAGAAAGAATTCTCAAAATGCAGGCGTAAGTCGGGTCAAAACGGCGTAGTACACAGTACTTACACTAATGAGGTCACCGATTGCTGGCTTGATGTATAGACATATGACCTCTTTCGCGAGTATAAAAAGTGAATAATGCAACGAAGTAGAATCGAAAGTTAAAAATAAATTGGATATTTTTACATTTTATCTCTTAATATGTTTACCTGTTTGATGGAAAGCAAAGATTATAATGGCTGTGGGAGATTATTGCAAATATTGTAATGTATTACAAGCCATTACAGACTATCAGAGATTGTTGCGTAGACTATAGGGATCGGCATGAGTCTCTTAGCCGAGACGAAACACTAAGTTTATATTCAAAACACAAGAATATGGAAAGCCTATGGTTTGAGCAGTTCTCTTGGACAGCATATCATGTGATCAGTCATGTGCAATAAACAAACCTAACTCTCTTCAATAAAACTCTTTCTACTATTACAAGAGGATAACGATCGAACTAAAATTTGGTGTGAAAATTTATCCTGGTGCTGTTTACCCAGCTTAAAAGATTGTTGTTCAATTAAAAAAGGTGTTACTCAACCTTCACTATAATGATTGGAGGATATTCCATCCCTCTGTTGTGGTTTTCTCACAGCTAATTATAATTCTAATTAACATCACATTATGTCAGTTAAATAGACGACAAATTGACGTTTCCCTTCTTTGGCTCATACGTTTATGATGACCAATATCTGAAAAGCTCTCACGTCAGTTAAAAAAAAAAATTTGCTGTAAGAGGAAAGATTGTACCCTGAGATGCTTTCTTGAAACAGTCCTGGCATAGACACTTTTGTCTTACCATGAAACATGGCGTCACGGTCCAATTTCTAAAAACTGAGGCTAGCCCCATATTTTAATCCCATATTTTTGCTTATGACATTTATGGCCCTTTAGACTCTTATGCATCTTATTTCCTTAACACTACTTTTTTTCTTAGTTGAATCCGAGTTGAATTTTTTATTTTTTTTTATTTTTTTATGATATTATTATCAGGTAAACGTATTGCATTATAGAATTCCATTTCTACATTAACATTGTGTAAAACACCTGTCGAATTACCGTACTAACACCGGTTAGTTTGTACTAGAAACTTCTTGTAGGACACAAATAAATTCTTCCTAATTTCCAGCAACATTTTGTGAAACTTCAAGTACTACACAGGAGGCGAAAAAATTATTTAAAAAAAAAAAAAAACACACTTTTGTTGTGGTGGGTTGCATATCGTGCTAATTGCGCATGGAAATTTAATTCCTGAAATATTTCGTGCCAGAAAACGAAAGGGAAAGTGATCATATCGAAGGAAATGGAATCCACTTTCGAAACCTTGACTATTTGCGCTTGGTTAACTCACGTTGTAAAGTGCAGGACGGGTGTGCAGGAGGTCCAGGGTTCAAGCTCCAGACCTAGCCAACACTCAGGATCGTAAAATAATTTAGGAGAATGTACTGCCTTTGCTTTAACAACGGTTAATTATTAGACACTACACTATTTTCGGGTAAGAACAATAAGCTGTAGGCCCCGTCTCCTTTCTCTTCTCTGAAATGGTTAACAGGGAGGTTAAAGAACCTGCACTTCACGCAATGAGTATTGAACGTAACGCCCTGTGTTGTGGTCTGACCTTATCATTGTTTACACAGGCCTCTTTTAAACTAGCATTGAGATGAACTGCACTAGCTTGTCTAAATATCGCAAATACATACATACATACATACATACACCCATACATACACACATTC